GCTATCAAATTACTTTTCCAGACTGTATAGTTGAAGAAGCGATCAAATTTTAGCAATAACATTCTTAGGGTGTGTTCATGTTGTGAGTTTTAGATCTTAGTTATATTCTGATTCTTCAGAAAATTCAACTCCTGAGAGTTTGATATTTTTTTAAATTCGTTGGACGCCATAGTAAACTAATTAATTAGTTTATTATGAAATTTTATTGTTATAAAGTTGAAATAAAACTGTAGGCTTGTGATCCTCTTGCCTAGCAGAAGATATTTTGTAGGAACATGATCAGTTTTGTAAGCCCACAAGGGTATCAAGCATTCACATGTAAGAACTAATTGCTTATCCATTTTTTGATTTGTCTGTAAATAATGGACAATTTCTTCATATATCAAACCATAGTTATTTGAGTGCATAAGCATAATAACCATTTGAATTTTTATAAAAGATACAAGAAAAATTATGATTGTCTGGACCTTCCTCTTTCACCTTCTGTTGATTAACATATGTTACAGTTTCTATGAGTGGTCAAGTGTTGGAACAAATACTTGGTTGTGAAGTAAATGTAGCGATAAAAGACTAAAAGAGATAAAAAAAAAAACTTTTATTGTGTCACTTAAATAATATAAGATTCTTGAACCCAAGAGTTAGAATGAGTAGCCTTTTCTCTGTAGTTACTGATAAACTGATTTAGGTACTGATGTCATGTCAATTGTTTGTGCAGCTGGTGGATTAGGCCATGGTGTGGCGCATGCTGTTTTTTTTTGCCTTAGTCTCTTAACTCCAGCATTTGTCCAGCCACATTTTTTGTTGATAAATGCTCACAGATACCCTTTTTTCTGTTTCTGGTGAGTCATTTATTCTTGTAAATATTTTTTGCCTCCTTTTATATATATTTTTCACATCTAGTTCAAATACAGTCTTTAAATGCATTGGTTTATCTCTCGTGTCCACTAAATTATTTTGCTGTGTAGTTTTCTGTTATCGTATTTACTGTGAATTGACATAATTGGCTAATATTTCAAACATTGATCTGCATTTGTGTTGCTGTTTTTTAACAAACAGTTTTTTGTCTTAACTGTTGCAGCATTTATTGCTCTTGCATTTGTTACAATCCACACTTTCCAATGGTCATTGCGTTTAATGGGTAGCTGAAGGGAAAAGTGGACCAGTATTTGTTCCAGTTGTTCATTTTGTTGCTGGAATGCTGGTAAAGTCTTCTCTTATTTTGCTTGCTTTTGTCATATATACACTAAAGTTTTTCTGTTGAGAATTTTATTTCAATTTTTCACTCTGAAAGGGTACATTCAGAATTATTCCTAGAACAGCAAGATATGTTTCTATGCTATTATGAAGCTATGATTGTCTAATTAAAATTGAAAATGTACCAACATAATGTCCCCTTCATTTGTAATTTTTCTTAATATTTTAAAATTTTCTCAAGTTACACACTAATTCCCCTTAATATCCCATAAAGAAAGAGAGATGCCCTCAATAAGTGATCGGACAAGAAGGTCTTGATGTTCCATCATCTCTCTATCCCCACTCGTACATGCACATGAGTACTGGTTTAATGACCAAATGTGTTTTCTTTCCTTTGGCATTCAAAGAAACGTCGATCTCTATCTATTAATTTTTGTTGGTGATAAAATCTTATTGTCCTTCAACATTGCTACCTTACCCTCCAAATAACTAACCGTGTGTTTTGTCAATTTGCAAATGTTCCATTTTGGTACTAGCTGATGTGTCATGAATTGTGAGAATAGACTTCAATGGTGCTTACCAATTTTTCTCCTTTGATATTTTCCTCAGACACTGGTAATTTTGCATCTGGGGGTTGTGTTATTGGGATTCCTCTCCTTATGTATGGCATTCTTGAGTTTGATTCACTGTGGGAAGATGGTGTGGAGAAGATTAACAGAACACAATCCGGCAGGGTAATTCTTTGTAATTTGTCACCTCTCCTACCTAACTTTTTGATTCAGATGTGTACTTCGCCTCATAGATAAGTTCTCGCGATAACTCACAATTAACTGCTTTCATGCACAGAGATGCATTCATGTTGCAAGTCTATATCCATGATTATTTATCTGAACCTTTTATTCGTCAACCAATATACTAATCTAGTCAATTGGTTATTTGTTTCTTATTCTCTTTTATTGTTTGTCCCCAAGTCAAATTTTTTAGAATATATGTATTTGGTATCCACCTATGGAGGTTATATGGTTTGGAGTATCTAAATTTAACGAATGTTTAGTTGTATTTAACATCTTGTACACTGACACTTATAAATCCGTATGATAGTGATTTTTCCTGAAAAATCCTATGGCGTGTTTTTATGTTCTATATATGACTGGCACCCAGCTGAAATTTTTTTTGTTTCTTTTTTTTTTGTATTTGGTATTTACCCTCACTTCCACTACACCTAGAATATGGATAGAGGAGGCTGGTTGTTCTTGTGGAATTGATCCATTCTCTGAATCATGGGATCAGACGGCCTCTAGCTTGTCACCCCATGAAGTAATCTATGAAGGTAAAATATAGGTAAAAATTTACTATGTTATATAGATATAGGTCAAGACAGAATTAAATAAAAAAAATAAAAACATTAGGGTCTTCTTTATCCAAGCTTTTTAGGATCTTATAATTGATCTGCATCTGTGATTAAGAGGACCTTATGAATTGATCTGCATCTGTGATTAAGAGGACCTTATGAATTGATATGCATCTGTGTTAAGAGTTACTTCATTTTCTATCGTTTCTTTGTTAATCATCAATCCAGCTTGGATTTTGCTCAGGTCTAGAAACCTGGTGTCAAGATATTCCCAGAAGCCAACAAATGATGAACGAATTTTCTTCCCTATTAGTTCTGCCAATATGAGAAAAAAGCTCGCTAATATTTTCAGAGGAAAGTTGCTCAAAGATGAATCCCAAACTTTAGCTTTTATCTCAGGACGACTAGCTCTTATCGTCTGAAAAAGAACTATAACAACCTCCATTAGTTCATATCCTCCAGTTTGTTTCGCTGATGGTAGAAAATGATGAAGTTCTACCGTTTTTTGACCCGTTTGTACAGAACATCGAAATAGTAAAAAGTTGTAAATATCTTTAATATGTATCCTTAGGATACATACATTGATAATGCTGAGATCGGAAGTAGAGATCAGGTTAGTCGGCAAGCACCCAACAAATAGGATGTTGCAAGAACATGTAGTCAAAAGTTTTTGCTTTTGGATTCCTTGCACATAATACAGAGATATATACATCCTCAGTCATCTTTTATCGAATCATGCTATTACTGTTCATTTTTCTTTTGGGTTTTGCCGAGGATTTAAACTTTCTTTTTGATGTTTTAGTGTTAAGAGTTGGTTGTTAAGATGGGATTTTGCAGAAAAAGCTTTTTGAGATGATTGTATTTACCCCCCCAAGTGTTTGGTCTATTAGTTCAGATCCTACGATGTAAACTACTGGAATAGACCCCCTGATTCTATCAGATGTTAAACTTGGAGCAGAATAGGTGTATTTAATATACTATTGTTTTCCAGTAAAGTTAGGTTAATGTTGCCTTAAAAGGCATTTTGTCTCTGCATAAAAAATGTTATTTTAAAATTAAGATTTATTTAATGGTTGTTAGTTTGAGGGGAAGGGGGGAGGGGAATCTCCCAGTATTTGAAATGCCAAAAGTGTGGACTGTAGATTAAGTCCTCTTAAGTTTTTCTTTCCTGCCATGGAGTTTTCAGTGAGCCTTACTTAAAGGCCCCTGCATCAGTTCGTCTGTATAAATGGTCTTTAGGGTAACGTCACTTTTCAAGTGAACCATTGGAGATATCCAATGATCAAACTCGGGACTCAGAAAGGATCTACCAATATAATAAACTATGTCATTGAAGGAATTTCTCTGACAAATCCGAAGTCTGGGGATTCAAAAAATTAAAAATTAAAAGAAGAAACAAAGTTTATCTATCCAATGTTATTATATGAAATAAAACAAGTTCCATGGTTTATAAGGAAAAATTCTGGATTGGTAGTTTTATTTCCAAGGGATTTGCTCTACACAACCAATATCAATATTTGTGTTTATTCATATAATATATAAATTAAAATGGGTTCCTCTTACAATCTTTTTATTTTTCTAAGCAACTTTCTACGAAGTTTTAAAAAACTAGGATTTACCTTCCTTGAATTTAATAAACGTTTACATTAATTAGTTTATTTGGATATGATTTTTGTTGCTTACAAACCCTCATTTTGATATTGCCTGAGTTTTAAATGTTCAGATTCTACCCCCAAAATGTTCATTTTTTATTAAAACATTTTTTACAATAGGAGGAGGGTATGTCCTCTCCTAGTACTTTAAACTGCAAGATTTGGACCTTAGTGGACCTAAACGCTACACCCCATGGGATAAATACAATTAGCTCTATGGCAGGCTTGATATGTAAGGTCTTTGGTCTTATTGTGAAAACTTGAACCCAATTTATTTATTATTTTTTTCTCAATCCAACAACAAAAATGATTCAAAACATTTAAAAAGATTTGTACAAGTATTTTAAACTCAGACATATACATAAACGTAGAATTAAAATAAAAAAGCGATGGATAAATTTTCCTATTGATGATAAATTTTAGTAGACATTATTTATTATAGTATGGGTTTTGTTTCTGACTCTACATTTTAGAAATTATTATTGATAAAGTGATTAGATAAAAATAAGACAAATATATAAAGTAATTAAATGAAAATAAAATAAAGACTATCAGTAATTTACATTATGACTTAATCTTAAACACTTTCCGTTTAATTTTAATCAATTACACGTTTAATTTAAAAGGACAAACTTAACATAAAAAGAACCTAACGAAACTCCATAGCTAGAGCTTCATAACATCCATTAATCAATTGTTGGTCATGGAATTTCAGGGCGAAAAGATTGAAAAAAGGAAAAAAAAAAAGTGTGAAAATGAATATCGACATGGAGATAAAAGTCCACATGCTTTCACTCTCAAGGAAAATGAACAAATTAAAGAACATTTAATTCAACCTTGGAAAATTTAATTAAGGTTCAATTTACACTTTAAATGGGATAAATGGTAAAAAGAAAAAAAAACAAAAATTACGCCATTCCAGAACAATTAGGATGTATATATACCAAGCTTTCTATTTCTGGTTCCATTATTACTAACCCCAAAAAAGGAAAAAAGAAAAAAAATGGGACTTGTAATCTGTATTATAATTTATACATATGGGATTAATGTAAATAAATAAAATAAGCATCTGAAAATTTGTAGTTGAGTCTGGTAGGTATTTTGTCCAGTGATGAACTTGTGTTCACTTCAGAAAGAACTTCCAAATGTCTCTATCAGTCATCTCCTTGATTAAATGAACTCCAAAAATGGATTCTTCATCGACGAGACTCCTCAAGTGTCGTGCGCCATTATTGAAACCGACATAATTCTTCTTCGTTGCTAAGTAAACGACTCCATATGGAGGCCTCAAACACTGGTTAAGCCGAAAAATTAGAACTAGTATCAAATGGAGAACATATACGACAGGACTTCTAGTATATTTCTTTTTCTTCTATGCCCAGAAAGCAGTCAATCTTTTCTTATATGTTCACTGAGCTAAATTAGGAAAAACTGAATCTTAGATTCATGGTGCAGCAACAGAAGGAGATACCAAATCATAAGGCAAAACAATGAAAATTACAAGCAATGAGATAGAGAAAGCAAAAATGTACTAAAATGAAAACTTGCAATCCAGTAATGCAATTGTTGAGATCCCAGATTTCTTATATTAAACCTTATTTGACATGAATAACTTCCTATTAAAGCAACAGGATTAGAAGATATCTAATGAGATAAAACTCCAGATTAGAGCAATTAATCCTGACTCTAAGGCTAGTTAACGGCATCCAGGTCATAGTTTATTCAATATCAGGAAAACCAACAAACTTATACAAGGCTCTTTATTTCCGTTATAGAAACAGTAAAATCAATGATGGAAACAATTTTCATAGCATATAATCTACACGTTTGGAGGATGATATTGTAAGTTCTAATATATCCGTCCAATTAACTCTTGTTATGCCTATTTTGCAGGAAAATAACTTGCAAATTATTTTGCCGTAAGTCCTCTTAAAACTATTTTTTCCCACATGGCGGATCTTCTCTAAAAGCCCACGTCCTAGTTTTAACATATTTCTATTTTAATACCCAATTTCTTATCATCCTTATTTCCATCCACAATCCAAACCGTTTACAAGGATCTTAAGATAAAAAATTTCCAATCTCATAATCTTACAGCCAACTGATTATACAGTGAAATTGAGAAAAAGCATGTAAACACATAGTTTGTATCTTTATAAGTTTCACTGCCTTACTAATATATCAACCCACGATGATAACTGTGAACAAGAATGCTAATGTTTTAATGACATGAAAGAACAAGAAAACAATAAACTAACCTTTTTAATGAGTGAATATAGCTTCTTCAATGAGGTCACAGAATATGGGATCTCAGTCATCAAAATAACATCATAACCACCTTCACCCTGATCTGCCTCGCTAGCCCTCTCCCATGCCCGGCTTCCTGAAAGTTTTCTTGACCTCCTTGAAGAGATATCCTGTCCTATGATGCTACCATCTTGGCTACTACATCCATCCATGAAATCCTCCTCAGAGAAGCTCAGGCTCATCCCTGTTGTCATTTCAGACACGTCACTCCTTATAACAGACAAGACTGTGGGGAGTTCTTCCCAATCACCAGCATAGAAGTGCACCGTTGGAGCCAGAGTTTGCCTTGATGGTGTCAGGGGACCCTCTGGTTGTCGGCTCTGCCGGTCTCGAGCTTGCTCAAGATTAGCAAGGACATTTGGTATAGTTGTGCATCTAATAGTTTCCGCACTGAGATCTTGAAAATGTACTGTGGAAGCCCCCTGTATAAATTGGAAGTTTCTTTTTTTTCAGACAGTTCAAAACCATTTTGATAAAAGAAATTATTAACATCAGAATACACCTAGAAAACTAGTGGTTACATCGACGAACTACTTAGTTAGAACTCCAATGTAGATGCTACCAAGTGCAATGTGCAAAAATGCAATGAATTATGACTAGAGTTAAAGAGAAATAAAAAAGGAACAGAAAGAAGAGATACCTTCAAGCAAGCAAAAATCCCAGGAAGTCCATAGCTGCATCCCAACTGTAAGAATAAAAAAAGCCAAGATATCAACTTTCATGTCATAGAAAACGATAAATTATAATTTAAATCTTATTGTTTTAACAACTTTTTTATGACTGAATTACCTCAAGTACCCTTTTGCCTCTTAAGCTCAGCTGTCCATCACGAATCTCATGCTTAAGAACATTAACAAGATCAATTGAGCCCTCCCAAGATTTTAGAAATCCTATATATTGGAAAAATCAAAGCTTTAGAATCGAATTAATCAGTCCCAACAATTCCTATCCTTGCATTGATGAGGAAACTGCTCTCAGAAATATTACCCTAGCTAAAATCTCTATCAATACCAAATCAAATTGAACAAAGTCATTTTATAGTTCTTACTGCGTACCATCAGGTTTTGAGGATATTGTTTCTGAACCAGAGAACCCAATTATATCAGCAACACTAACTCTTCCCTGCAAGAGATTGAAATAGACATAAAAATTAAGCAAGAGATTGAACTAGCCACAAAAATTAAGCTTTGATTCCCAATGTTAAATTAATAACAAATAATTGCACCATAACTTTGTAACAAGCATTTCCTCTAATGGCCTCTAGAAAAGCCATAAATATGGTTACAGAAGATATAAACAACAGCCAAGCAGTGCAACCCAGTTTTCTTCGTGCAAAGGAAGGGAGAGAGAAAAGGAAGAGTCTACTTTCAGCCAACCAACTACCAACTAACTATCCTCCCCTCCATTCCTCTGGGTGGAAGGCGAAAACAACATAGATGAACATATTTAAGCGTGGATTTCAATGTAAACAGGCACCTATATTTTACAATTGGATTTCAGTGGCACACACTTTATAATCATATCAACGTCTATATACACCTTTACAACACCAATGCACTAACAAAATAAACCATAAACTTGAACATTCCAGTGGTTTGACAGAAAAAACTACTGCCAGATAAACCAACTGCAAGGTTTTTACGCATTAATCAATTTTGCAACGAATAAGACAAAGTATAGATGCTGATCAGCTAAAATTCTTAAACAAAGATTTGACATACCTTGAACACATTGAAACCTTGCAAGTCTACATTCTCTCCAGCATTATTTATATGGGTGTGCAATCTGTACCTTGAAAAAGGAGGATGTCTTAGCGTGTAATGTAATTTATAGCTTCAACTCTCAACAAAGAAGATAAATAATTCTATGCTATGCAATAAAGTCTACAAAGCAGGTCAGTGCGGGTACATTTGAGTAGTAGAAACACAAACCTTTGAAGGGAGAATCTCAACAGCTGGTGATGGGAGATGCACATCTCTTTCTGAAATGGTGGGACATGCTATGGCTTCCTCGGTCTTGCGGAACCAAGCCAGGCAGCATTGTGCAAGCACGATGGTGCACGCATTGTAACTCGATCTTTTTAAATATTCTCAAGATAGAACAACCTATTAAAAAACAACATTTTCCATTAAATCTAGATCATTTCTCCAAAAAAACTCAAGTACCCCAAGCAAAAATCTTAAGATCCATATCAACCACCCCTCTACATCAACTGAATTCACAAGTCATGAAATTTTGTTGATGCAAAATCAATAAAAATTGGGAAGCAGAATATCAAACAAGAGAATCATATATGATCATCAAAGTATTAACAGAGTAACCAATTAAGAGTCAATGTTAAGCTCAAAACAAACAAGGAAAAAGCATCAAGCAGCAAACAAAGCCAATGAAAATCCTCATAATCTATTCAAAATCAAAACCCATAAACAGAATGCAAACTTGGCAAAATATGATAGACTAAAACCACAAAACACAAAATCTAAAAATTTTAAACAAGAAGAAAACAAATCAAACTAAAACCAAAGCCATCAAGAACCAAAAAACAGATCCCAATGAAGTTGCCACCATAAATATTTAAGAAAATTAAAAGCAACCCACATGATCAAATGCATTCAAGAATAAAACCCAGAAGCCAAAACAAAACTAAAACTAAAACCAACCCACATGTTCAATGGCATCAAGAACAAAACCCAGAAGCCAAACCAAATAAAACCAAAACTAAGACCATCCCACATGTTAAATCACTTAAAAGAACAAAACCCAGAATAAATTACAATGAAATTTCACAATAAAACAACATAATATAATTTAAGAGAAAGTTCAAAGAGTTCACCTATGAAAACAAGAATTATCTGGAGAATCTTGGTAATCTGATAGGGCAGTAAGGGCTCTTTTATACTAATTAATATTTAATTTAATTGCTAATATAAATGGTGAGAAATGAACGACAAAATTAAAGTCCGAAATTTCACAGAAAAGAGAAAGAGTTCATAAACAAAAGTCAAAAGGAGTACCAAAACACTACACAGAAGCTTCCGTTTCAGGCGTGGCCTTCACTGTAACATTTTATTCCGAAACTGCCCTTGTGTTTCTTCTTAATTGCGTAATTACCACTGTGATTTTTCAGGCAGTTGGTTAGTGTCATTAGACAAGCATATGCGGATATTCTTTTCTTTTAAGGACACTTTTTCGAAAATTGGCATTTTAGTCCTTTGACTTGATAGGCTGATTGATCAGAAATTATGAAAACAGAAATACCCTTCTGACAATAACAAAAATACATTACACAAATAACACTAGTGTGTAATATGTCTTACTAACTTGAAGGAAAGTGATTTGGATTTATATTAGCATTGTTTCTGTAAGACATTTTTTTTAATCATTTTTAGAGGATTATTTTCATATTTTAGTGTAATTTTCAAGTTCATCATCTAAAAGTCTCAAAGAATAAAATTATATTTGAAACGAAGGTCTTTGACGAATATATTAAAACTATAAGGATGAAATAAAAATCTCAACAATTTGCTCTTATATAATATTTTCTAATCCGTTTTATTAACTATCAAAATAGTCTTTTTTAATTATTTGATATTGCTACGTGACTTATCCATCTCCCTTAAAAATAAATTTTCAAATTAAGTGTTTAATTGATATATAAATATAAATAATGATATATTACTAACTCAAATGATAGGATGAATGTTGGGATGTGTTGTTAAGATGCACGATGACTCTCAAGATATAAAACATTACATGACAAACATATATACTATATCTCTTTGATTATTGGGGACATTTTTTTTTATTATCAAACTTTCTAAAAGTTGTTCAATTATAGACTATTCATTGCAATTATTTTCTTTATTAACGATAACTTTATATATATATTTCAAAAATAGAAAGGAGAATACTTTAAAAAAAAAAAAAAAAAAACCAAATATAAAGTTTCCACTAATTTAAGATATTTTTTAATCATTTATACACTTTTTCATTATAAAAGCACTTTTGCTAACAAATAAGCAAAAGCACTAACAGCGTCCTCTCCAGCTGGAGAACTCATTGCTAAATAACCAAATAAATAATTAAAAAAAAAGTGCTTCTTTAAATACTTATAAATGCAGTCTGCACAATTATCTATTAATATTTAAAGTATCAAAGATACTCTAAAACATTCATCCATTTTCAATGTCCTCATTAAACCCTTACATTTTAATTTTTGTTTAAATAATTTTCTTTTTAAATATAAGAAATGACACTCTTTTTTGAAAAAATAAATATTTCAAAGAAATAAATATAATTATGTGTCACTGTTACAATTATAGGCTTTTTGTAAAGAAAGCCAGTGGTTGGTGGGCTATGCCAGGCCGGGTCGGGCTGTAGTACTCTTTTGGAAGTAAAACCGAGTCCAAGTCAACCCACTCCACAGTCCACACCACTTGCGGTTGCAGGTGCCGATTTGAGAAAACGTTACCTCGTGTCATATAAAACTCACAATTGACTTTGACTCTTGCACTCCGAGTTGACCCTTCAATTCCATATTTAAAAAAAAAAAAAATGAGCATTAATGAAGTATTAAAAGAGAAAATTTTGTAATATTTTGAATCAATTTAATTTTGTTGAAATTCTTTTAATATTTTTTCTTATTTTTTTTCTGTTTGATTATTTTTTTGATATATGTTATTTCTATAATTATTTATCTTAATATGGGCATTGATTTACAACTTTATATATTGTTATAATTAATTTTTATTTTGATGAAACAATATTATTTACAGTAGCGGATCCAAAAATTTCTATAGAATGGACCAAAATAAAAATTAATTATATTAATATTTTGTCCATTAATATCTTTGTTAGGGTAGACTAAAATCCAGAAATTGTACATATTAATATTTTTTTTTAAATGAGGGTGGGCTCTTAGCAAGTACTAGATTTGCCACGGTTATGTATTTATTAATTGATATTAAAATAATTAAACATTCACTATCAAAATGTTTATTTATCGAGTCAAGGTGCCAATTTCTGAATTTTAGTAATCGAATCATTTGATCCATTCAAAAGGCTAAAGTGTTACTCATTATTATACTAATAATGAGTGAAAAGAAAAAGTCCATTGAGCTTATCTTAAAATTACACTTTATTTTTCCCCAAACATTGATTGACTTTATATCTCTAAAAACAATAAATTTTAATTGGTTTTGGCAAATGCTAATATAATATTGACTTAAAAGAAATTAAAAATATTGAACCAAAATTCTCAAGTTATTTATAGGGAAACAAAAAAAAAAACCTTTGGTGAGGAATAACATAGTGTCATAGTTTACAAAATTAAAAGTTTAATCACTTCTAATATAATAGACAATATAGATAAAAAAAAAAAAAATTAATGTAATGAATATAAACAGATAAAGAGATTAAAGATGAACTAGATCACGTTTTTCATGAAAATAAATGAATAATTCTGCAAAGCATTTTATTTAATTTTACCTTCATTGAGATGAAGATTATGCTTAAAAAATGTGAAAAATGAGGATGTTTTGAAAACAAAAGATAAGGTGTTGCGTTTCTTTCATGTAATTACAAATTAAAATATATTTTTTTTTTTCTTTTGAGGTAAAAGATAGAATTTGTGGAAAGGAGAAAAAAAATAATAAATAATTGATGGGATAAAATAATAAAATAATAAAGAGAGCCCACAAGTGAAGAGAAAATAACGGCTAATAATAATAATAAAAAGCTGAATAGGTTTCCTTAAAAATGGTTAAATGATTTAAATCCTACCTAAATACTTGAATCAATGTCTAAGATTGGAGCAAAAGGTAACCATATACGTTGATGTATTATGGAAAGCAAATATCACGAATATGCAATATGGCAAGCTAGGATTAAAGCTTGATTTCCTGAATTATTCTTCATTAATAGGTTGATTACATGTAATCTCACTATTAAGGTGCAATATTTTATTTCCTAGTTTATACTTTATTTTTTGTATAAATAGGACTTTGTACAAACATACAATACAATGAAAATACACATTACAATTGTAATTCTTCTTCTTCTTTATTCTAGCATGCTCTTAGCAATTTAATTGCAGCTCTTGCCTCTCTCTGATAAGCTTCTGACATGGTATCAAAGCTTTCAACTTAGCTTCATTTCCGCTCAAAACAATCCTCTCCAGTCTTCATTTTGTCAATCTGCAAAATAAGGCACTCAAATTAGTTTTACTCCCATAAACAGAACACTGTCTACCTTCATCCACTATGGATACAACCAAACTACTACTAGCCTTAGACCACAACCAAACCAGTAGCCAAACAGAGTCCGCAGCCAATTCAGATGGGCTCACCCAAACCAACCCAACTATTCAACAAAACCAAAATACTAGGCTAGGCCCAAACACAGGTTCATACGGCTCAATCCCTTTTGGGTTCATGGGTCAAAATCCAGACCTGTTGGGTCTAAATACCACCCGACGATTCCAAATCCTTACCCGCTCTTCCAACTCGTGTCACCCACCGTCAAACGCCCAGAACTAGGAGATCCCCTCTATTCTCCGACGTCTGAAAGCTTCGAGCTTGTGCTCGTGAAGCAACCTCTCACTGGTTCTAACAACTATGCAACCTAGGCTTGCAATTTCCGACGAGCCCTAATCACAAAAGACAAGAAGGGGTTCATAGATGAAACCCTCTTGCCACCAAAAGACCCACAAATGCTCAAACATTGGGTTAGATGCAACACCCTAGCCCATGCATGGCTAAGCAATTCCTTAACCCAGGAGATTGTTGCTGGACTCCCACAAACTGAAGATGCCCACGAAATGTGGGCGAATATTCAAGAAATGTATGGCTAGCTTGATTTCGCCAAGATTTTCACCCTTCGGCAAAAAGTTGCTGAAATCAAACAGGGTAACCTCATTATCACCACTTATTTTAATCGATTGTATGTCATTTGGAATGAACTTGATGTAGTAGCAGA